AAGTCCGATTGCTTTGATACTATTCATATTGTTCATTTTCTAATGATGTCTTCAGTTCTTTACTTGAAATGTGCATTGCTAACAGCGGAGCTATCTCAGCCGATAGGCTGCTTGTTTATGTCTATTTTCATTACCGAGAAACTTGACCTCAAAGTTGGGGTAACTTTTTACCAGCAACGGTTTTTAACTGCTCTGTGGTTTTTTTCATCTTTGCATTGGCTAATTTTGTTCATACTTGACAGGCAGGTCGTACCGTCACTAATTGAAAAAAAAAATCTAGGCTAACCGCTGCCATGGCAACAGCCAAAAACTGATTTTTGAATACCTTCGTCCAAAATGTATTACCTCCTACCAGTCTTGTAATAGTGTTCATATGATCTTGTTTTTGTTTTTTTTATTTTGGCTACGTTGCGCACTGGTAGGAGATCACCGGCGCCAACATTGTTACACTGTATCAACGTAATCCCAACGCAACTTTGAACTATGAATGAATTGCAAATGCTGCCTTCAATCCAGAAAATACTATCGCAAAGCGGTTAGAAATAATAAATTTAACAGCAAAATACGTCCTAGTAATAAAATAAAGTGACTTCTAAAGACTGAGTGGTTTTTTTTGCTAACTTTGTATACGGGGCTCGGTTTCAGTTATAAACCAATGTAATAGCTTCACGTTCTACCATAATAACAGCCGAAAACATGTTGCTTTTTTTTGAGCGGAGCGGATCGCCAAGCAGCCTATCGGCTTGTTTTATAAACTGGCTTGGCAATTCCCACCATGTCACAGCATTTCGGCTACTTTTCCAACGAATCCAAAATCACTCATAATTTTGTTCACTTTACATTTGTACTATGATTACATTTTAAGTTTTGCATACATGCACACTCACAAAAATACCCCCAGAATTAGCTGCAGTTCTGTAGCTCGCTTGGTTTCGCTGTCGGTTATTTTGTTCGTCGTGGTGTTAACGCGAAACCAGGGAGCTACAGTTCCATCATATGCGAGTTACCATATTTTACCGACCTGAAATCAGGTCGGGCCGTAACAGCCGTTTTTTTTTCATTATTTTCGCCTCAAGTTTCTACTTTTCTACTGTCGATGGGTCCCGAAACTATTTCATCAATTATTTTGAGGGCGATTGTCCGAAATTGGTCGATTTCACGACGAAAACCGCGGAAAACTACAGCGAAATCCCCGCGTTTGCCGCCATCTTGAATAAGTT